AAATTCCCATACAATTGCGCCAACTTTAACATAATTGAACTATCACGCACTACCTCTATATCTAATCCAATCCCTAATAAGTAACCCTCACCTCCACCCATCACAACCACTATTGTTAATCATCACCTGCAAACACAATGTAAAATTAGATACCTAATACAAAAATAGAATTACAATCTTCACATGGACATATGAGCACCTTTCTTTTTAGTTACATTTAGTAAGTGAATATCCCCTTTGGTGTCTTGTTGTTGTTGTACATGTATGATAAATCGAAACCTGATGTTTCAATTGATAGATTTAAAGCTCGTCTTGTAGCATTTAATTTTAATCAAGCTTATGACATTGACTATTAAAGAACCTTTAGCCCCATTGACAAAATGCATATCATCTGATTGTTGCTCACCATAACTATTTATTTCAGTTGGCCAGTCTTTCAACTTGATGAAAACAATTTGGAAACATATAAGAAAATATTTATACAAGGCAAACTTCAGGTTTTCAAGATAATCAATATACAACATATGTATGCCAACTCTACAAAGCCATATATGGCTTAAAATAGGAACCAAGACAATGGTTCCTCACTTTCTTAAATCATCTTATCAACAAAGGATTGAAAATTAACACAATTGATCCCTCCCTTCCATCTTTTATCAGTGATTGCGCTTAGATTTCTTTAATTAAATATGTACACGATATGCTCATCACTGAAAAAGTACAACTTCAAGATCAAAACCCCCATTTCTAATATACAATTATTCTCCAATTTAAAGAATCTTGATTAGATTTTTTAGTTTCTTGACACCCAATTATAGACCATACCAATTAGTTTCTTTCTTAGCCAAGTGAATATACTCATGATGTTCTCTTGCCTCTGTGATTTTAATCAAATCCTATGTAGATTCCAACTGTATTCTTATATCCAAGGAATCCACTCATTCTAATTAACTTTTTGATTCTTTAAAATATTTAACAATAACTAAACCGGATATCACATTTACAATAAATCATCTTTATTAATCCATGCACATTCCACTAATAAAACACTTTTATTTTCTCAAGAAAATTCTCATATATCTCTAAGAAGCATCTCATTTTAGACATTCTATTTATGAAGTACCATTTACATGGCATTCATATTCAAACGCTGACTGGGTGGCTGATCCTTTTGATCACAAATCTACCCCCAGTCATTGCTCTTTCGTGGATAACAATCTTGGCTTATGGAGTCTTAAGAAACAATCACAGTGACTATGTCTTCCATTGAAGCTAATTATAGACCCTTAACCGCTGTTGCAATCAATATTATCTAGCTTTGCCATCTTCTACAAGTCTTCCAAATACCCATACATACTCTCATTACTATTCACTGTGACAACACTTTAGCTACGACCTTAGCCAACAACCCAATTTTTCACACCATAACCAAATACATTGAGATGTATTAACAATACATTGAGATGTATTAACACTTTATTAAGGAACATGTACATTCCTATGAAATCAATGTTTTGCACATTCACTCCAAAGATTAACCAACAAACATTTTTATAAATACTACCCATGTATCATTTGCAACAACTTTGAGACAACTTGATCTTCCAATCACATGTTAATCAACTTGTGAGACGATGATAAGAGTACTCAATTTGCTCTAGTTAGTTATGATATGCTTCTCTACTTTTCATCCATTGTTGTCCATTATCTATGCATTTTGTCCTCATCACCATTGACTATGATTCTCTACCTTTTTCAACTTTCTAATTCTAACTTATTCTAGAGTAATGATAGAAATATTTTCCCTTTATTTCTCTATATTTATTAAATAATGTTGTATGCAACATAATAGTTGATTATATGTAGAATGGTTATATCTATACAATAGTCTGATTGTTTCTTAATCTATTAGCTACAATTTATTGTCTTTTTCATGTATCAACATCTTTTTTATCACTAACGTCTTTATCAATCAATCCAACCTATTTTTTCCTAATTATTGAATCTCTCCTTTTATTATTATTATTATTATTATTATTATTATTATTATTATTATTATTATTATTATTATTATTATTATTATTATTATTATTATTATTATTATTATTATTATTATTATTATTATTATTTGCTTCATAGTTTTATTTTCAATTCAAATTCTTAGGATCATAATAAGTGTTTTGACTGATCATTTTTATTAACATACAACTATATATACTCTTATATTTCACCCTAAATATTATATTTTTCAAGTTGCTTAATTTCAAATGGATTATTTTTAAATTTTTTATTTTTAAAATAGCTTTAGTTCCGAGTAGCTAGAATATGTTCGCTTTATTAAATAAAATTATTTTCAATTTTGATAACTATGACCTATTGAAACATGCAATTGAGCCAATACAATTATTACATTTACCAAACTCATCAACCTAAACTAGCTAACTAGCCAACCCCCCTAGAGAAAAATTAGTGGAACATAACTCTTCTTAAGAGAAGAATAACCAATTCACCCTAATTTTTATTTTTATTTTTATTTTTGAGTTTTAAATACGTAGTGGAAAATGTACAATACTATTAATTGAATCAATTAAGCTTTATTCCAATTGAAGAAGAATAAAGAAAATAACATGAATCATAACTACTATAATTACTTATGAGTTGAATATAAATTTACAAATCATAATTTTAATTTGAAATTTTTATGGACTCAAAATTCTGATATCCTTAAAGCTAATATTATGGCATAATTCATGGCAGATGTTGTATCCTCAACATTGTATTATTGTCTTCTCAATTTCTGAGATACCTATAACATCCTCTACCATGATTCTCATGTTTATAGCAAGTAAATACCATAAATTCTATGGTTCAACTATAGTAAAATTTTCCATCTTGGATGCCTTTGGATGACTAGTGATGATCGACTTAAACTATCTTTAAGAATACAATACATGTTGGACAGTGATAAGATAATGAGATGAAAGGTTGAGGTTTGTTTGCTTCTTTTATGAGACTAATAATCAAGCAAGATATTCATGAAGAAATTTTTAAAAATTTTAAAGAAGTTTGGAAGAATTGTTGAAGGCCAATAAATAATGAGATGAAAGCATGATAAGCTAAAGACACAAATGCTCAATCACATAGTGAGTATATGAACAAAGTAGATGGCTCCATATGCCATTTTTAAGAAGACAAAAAAATCAAAAGAAGTAAGCACCTATTGAGCTTTTGAAGTGAATTCTACTAGAACTGATTCATTCTATTCATAGCAAATGGTTTAAAAATTAGAATGAAAGGTGAAAAATGTTAGGTTAAGAGAGAGCTTGTTATTATTTTAGGATTCATTTAAGATAAATTTTATTTTTATTATTATTATTTCATTTTATTTATTTTTTGATTTGAAGTGAATCATGTTTGTTAAGTTACAATAAAATAAGATAATTTCTTAAAACATATATATATTTTTTAAAACAAAAATTTTAAATATAAAAAATATACTTTTTAAATATGTTTTTAAAAATAATAAAAAAATATTAATTCCAGACAAACCCTCAATAGATTTCAAATAGTTTTTGAGTGTTATATAAATAAATATGGAGTTTAGATGAATATAAATCATCCTTTATATAATTCTACGCCTTTTTAACATGTTATATCAAACAAAAATATCATGTTTACATATTGAGTTACTCTAAAAATTATCATATATGTTTGAAATAATATATATAATAAAAATAAAATATAAACATGTTATACTATGAATATATTTTTTGAAAATTAAAGAAATAAAGCCACCAAATCAAATTACAAAGCCACAAGGTATTTTGATATTTTCATTTCTTAAAAATTATCAAATAACTATATTTATCTTTGAATTATGTATTAACTCATCTAAAACAAAATATATGTTCTATTCCCATATATTTTAATCTGATTTAAATATTAGATTATTTTAAACTATATAAAAACATGAAAATTCTTTAGCATGTATCCAAATTCTTATTTTTCTTGAAAAAATATTACATCAAGACTCCTAACGTAGAGCTCCGTTCAGAGTCCACTGATATACGGACACGTGGCTTCAAGGAAATGCGTGCGCTTTCTTGTGATCTGGTCTGGTAACACAGAAGAATATTTTTTTTTTGTGTTATTCCAAGTTATTCAAGTGTTATTGTGGTGGTAGGATGTATTATTGTGTTATTATAACATCAAAAATATTCTCATAATACAATACACATAAATACCACTACAATAACATCTGAATAATGTGATATAACACATATTTATGTGCTAAAATGATTTTTTTTTATCACCTCCACGTGTCTGCATATCATATGCGAACTCCGAACGTAGCTCTACGTTAGGAGTCCTGATGTAATATTTGTCCATTTTTCTCAGGGAATCCGGGTGTATAACTTTACCCTAGGAGACAAGTATGTAAAGAAAGATTAACAACCATGTTGGACTTCCTATTTGTTCAAGTACAACTTAGCTACTCTTAACACAACTCAATTTGATTAAAGCCATGCACAAATGATGAATCCAAATTAGCCAGGCCAACACAATACCGGCCCGTACTCGCATATCTTCCGACTTCCTAACTTCTTATAAGTGCATACGCTCGCACAATTAGAAGGAAATATTATGTACAGATATCATCACAGCACCACCAAATTCATATATATCTGCAACTATTCTGCTCAAAGATAATATTTCTTCTGCAATCAGGCAGAAAATTAACTGCCATAACCTCTTACCATGTTGACATTTTGGGAATTTTTTGTAACATATGGCATATTATTCCTCACTCAATATTTCTCCAGTTATAAGCAACACTTTATATAAGCATGGCTGCAGCACAAGAACACAATATATCAATCAATTTTCATTCAGCAGCTGGACACAAGGGCTCATTCAAGCAATAGGAGGCTCTATTTAGAACTAAATAACAATAAAAATACTAAATCACAAACTAATGAGAACTAAAATAAACTATAAAATACAGCAAAGAAAAAGGTAGAAATTAAAGAAAGACCTTCACCACAACGGCTAGTAATTCGCACAAAATAAAAGCAATATAAATATTTAAATATTACAGGTCACAATTTCAAATCTGTTGGAACCCAAAAAAAAAAAGAGAAGAGTCAACTACTCAGTTGGTCTTCTTGCTGTTCTCATCTGCTTCAATAGCCGAGCCATTGGCAACTGATTTATCTTCGCCACCAAACCCGAACTCGTTCACTCGCGACTTGTCTACAGGATATATCCATCTTTGGTACAGATATATCAAGAAAATCACATCTGCCAGCCAAAAACATTATTATGTAAATAAATAAATACCTGAGTATTACATGTCTCAATTTAAAATGAGAAAAAGTGTTAAAATAATCCCCTTGGAGTCATTTTGGAAATTTAGTTCCAACTCTTTTAAAATGTGTTGAGATAATCCACAATGAAAGCTATTTTGACACTTTACAAAAGCTAAACATCTCTCTGAAGTATTCATCATTGTAATAGTTCTGGAATGTTCTAGAATCCAGACATCATATAATGATGGCAATAGTAAAGCAGTGAAAAAAATAGAAGATTGATTCTGAACGCACCATCACGGAACACTGAAAGGCGGTGCAGTGTAGGCATTTTTATGACGAATGCAAAAAGATCATCAATGATTGTGTTGAGGAATTTGTATGTCATTTGCCTCCAAGGAAGATGAGCAACAGATTTCATTTTGTAGTTTATAAAAAGTTGAGGACACATCATGATAAAACCTGTAGTTCAGGCGACAGAAAATATGTATTAGTAATTGCAGCTTCACTTAAAAAAATCATTTAAAAAAAAAATCTAACTTTGGTTTTGGATAGAAACGCTTTACCAAAACATCTTTGTTTTACAATAATATCCGTGAGGTCACCGAGGGTTAACTTCGAGCTGGGATTTCTGTAATGTTATTTTTGTTTGCAATATCCATTTTTTATATGTACCAAGGCCCTATTTGAAATCATTTTTGCTTTTTATTTCTGTTCTATTTTTAAGCATTTATTTCTTCACTGTTTTTTTAAAATAAATGTTTAAAAACATTATTATTATTATTTTACATTTTGAGTGTTCTAAACAATAATCATGTTTAATTCAAGCATAAAGGTATGTTTTCTTTCAAATCAAAATATAATTAAAAAAAAGATTTTGAATGGCCTACAACAACTTTGTACTTCCAGATTTTACAATGATAAAAGTTTCAATGATACCAAAAGCCTGCAAAATGATGTAATACGCCCAAGAAGTCATATTATATTGGAGGCGGCGGCTTACCAAACATGTACACACAGCTGGTGAGGGAGGAAAGTATCCAGGAATACCAACTCTTGTGCTGCTCATACATGAGTGAGTACACAGAAAAACAAGCGGCAAGGAAGAAAAGAACATAGGAAAGGTATTTCATAGCAATATCATCATATTCCTTGGTTTTGTTACTCGAATATGATTCACGGTCACGGAATCGCAACATTGGAATCATCCCACTCCTGTCAATCTGTTAACATTAAGAAAATGATTCAGAAAAAAAATGTCATCGAGGATGAAAAGTTATAAGCGCTGAGCAGCATAACAGCAAGTAAAATATGCCAACCACCTGAAAGAGGATGGCTCAGAAACTCATCACACTATTTAAACATATTTGGAAGCAGATGGATCAGAATATAGATTGGAAGGTGAAGAAATAAATGAAACAATCGTTAAAAAATATGTACTCCTGAGTATTAAGATCAGTAATTTATGAAGGAATCGGGAATCCTGAAATATTTATCAGACTGCAAAAGCATTATGATTTTGAATTATAAAAAGATGAATATATATATATATATATATAATAGAATCTAAGCCAATGTTTGGCTTCCTCTGAATTTCAATGAGGAGCATAGAGTATATTTGTAATTAACAAACAGTGCACAGCAGCATAAAATGCATTAGCAAAATGGACAGTACCTTTTCACCAAATAAGGAATGCAATGCTTAAAAAATCCCAGTATATGCAAATTCAGAAAGAAAACCAGCACTTGTAAGAGATTGTTTAGGAATTAGCCCTCAATAAAAAATCCTATAAAATTATAATTTTCCTCAAATTTTTAAGAGGCCGTTTGAGATCACTTTCTATTTCTATTTCTATTTTTATTTTATTTTGTAACAAAACAGCATTCGGAACTCATGCATTTTCTGTTTTTAAAAGCAAAAAGAAAAACATATTTGATATTCATATACATTTTTTTATTTTAAAATAAAAAAAAATAAGAAAGTGATAAACTTTCAAAATATTTAAACAAAAAGATAGGGAGCATTTACATACAAACCAACCATTTTCTTATGTATTTACACGCCTACCACAAAATAAAAATGCAAAACTTTTTAGATTTAGGTAACAAACCAGCAATGTGATGGTGTAACAGTAAATAAATAAATTCATATGTTAATGACAGTAAATTAGCAAAAGGTTTCAAGATTATAGTGTTGTACCAAATCTAGTTAAAATCATGTAAACAGAAATCGAAAAGAACACTAAAACCAACTAAAAAAATCATCGCATTGAAACACGAAAACAACCGAGAAAAAATCCAAGCTCCTATTATTTCGAAGGGCAGGAAGGATCTCAAGTGGAACGGAGGCTGGAACTCCAAACAGATCTCGGAGTTCGGAGAGCCAAGGAATGGCGGGCGAGGAGGCAGCCAGGTCGCAAAGATTAGGACCCAAGCCATGCGGGCCGAAGTAGCGAAGGGAAGGGGAGAAGAAAAAGAAGTGATATCTGGATTTTGGGGTTTTAGGGGCAAGCAACGAAAAACGTATTCTGGAAACATAATAAAACATAATTTCTGTGTTTTTACTTGTTTTAAAAGTGAGACACTTTTGTTTATAAATGAATTTAAAAAACAGATAAACAAACATTCTTTTTTTATTTTCTAATTTTGAAAATAAAAATAAAAAACAAAAATTGATCCCAAACAGACCTAAGTTGTCATTTTTGTTTGACATTTTTAAGCATTCGTATGAATAAATGAATAAAGAAAGTTAAACTGCTCAATAACATGCCTCAATGTGCATAGCCTTTCCAATTTTCCAAAATTCAATGCAGCAACCGATGCCAGAGCTAGCAAGGATCATCCATGAGGTATCGTTGTCGAAAAGGTAAAGGAAAACAATCAGCTGACTGATAAAGCTCACAACAACGGACTTTGCAGACAATCCTTCCATAGACTTGTTTTTATTCCAAAACTGAATATCTGTAATGAATATCAAGATCAGAAAACCATTCTGTTAATAAGTTACAAATAAGAATCATTAGAAAGTTAAAATCCATTTAAGCATATTCTAAGGCATTAAACAAAATGAAATCCCAACTGACCATTTTTGAACGCAAGAAAATCAAATAGTGAATGCATCACAGATACAACCATTGTAACCACCAGGAGATACGGGTTTCCTTCCAAGAAGACCCTCTGAAACACAATAAGTAAACCAAAAACTCAAAAAAAAAAAAAAATCAAAAATGAAAAACTAAAAAACATGAGAAATTTACAAAGAATCAATGAATGATTTCAAACCTCTACATATGCAATAGTATCAAGAGATACATACGACAAAGTATCACTGAATGATCAATTTGAGTAGCAAAAATAAACAGGATTAATGCATTAAGTCATACGTATATACAAATTTTGAAGTGAATGGTTAAATAATGCGCAAAACGGTGGCCTCCCGGCAACATAAACAATATAACATTTAGTAAGGATGTCTTAGTAAAAACTAAGTTCAATATCTGGAGACTATCTTTCATTCCCGAACCGAACTTCAATTCTTAGTGCTAGAAAAACTTGGTACCAGTGTTATCTATATTAACATCTCAAAAAAAAAAACAGATTTTCTATGATTTCCTCAGCGTACGGACTTACTTCTGAAGCAACACGTAATTATATATGACTACATGACAATTTTATTTCATATAACATGGCAAAAGAAGAACATTCAACACCAATGAACCAAACAAAACCTAAGTTAATAAGATAATGCTTCTCAAAAAGTGAAGCGATACATTTAATTTTTAAAATAAATAAGTAAACAAAATACCAATAATAGGCACCACCAAGAATACCAGTTCATGGTCCAAATGCAAGGCTACCAATTTGGTGCCTAAACTAAGGACCTTGGCCATGCAAAGGCAAGCCCAGCATTGCTATCAATGCTTGTAATGGCCATTGTAAAACTTCAATTCGCTAGTCAAAAAATAAATAGTTTTGACCCAAAAACTATTACCAATCTCAGTTGGAAAGTGAGCCGGTACCTTAAGTTGATCAGCCTCCCCTTCAACCATACTTCCGTAACTCCGGTGAATCTGGAATGACTGTTCAATCTGTAAGAAGAACTGCCACTTTGTTAAGCTGATTGGTCCTACTTCTAGGTTAAGAGGTAATTCTTTCACAGTATCATTGAGGGATATGAGTTTATCTCTCAGAAGCCAGAACTCATTGAAGTAGATTATTGGAAAATAATTCTTCGTTGTAGGATCAATGTTCAAATCTGAGAAGGAATGTTAAGAAAAACAGCTCGCCAACATAACCAAGTCATAATGAATTTTCATACTCGCAGGCACCACTATGCAGATGTTCACTCTTTTTGATTAGCACATCAGCCAAATATAATCTACCAAATTATACCAAAGAAAAAAAATAAGAAATGCCCAGGTCATCACAAGTAGAACATAGAAGAAAAGGAAAACATTTCATGAGAAGCTTGAGAATATGGCCATATATATGAATAAATGCTCCTGCTAAAATAAGAATTCCCTAAAGTGAAAGGTGTTGAGCATAAAATAAGTGTCCAAAACATGGAGTGGCAAAAAGCACCAGAATTTGAGCACTTTAAAATGATTGAAATTTGAATTTAATTTTAGTAAATTTTCACTAGTGTAGCATCCAATAAAAAAACTAGGCATGCTTTCATATTAAAGGAAGTTTATACATTAAATGGAAACTTAAAAAATCTGCAAAAATAACAAAGCAGCCTCCCACAACAATAAACAAAGCAGATCAGGAAAAAGCATTTAGGAATAAAAGCAACCAGAATTCTCACAATACTGATGATTATCCTCTTTACCTGTAACACACAGCGAAACATATTCTATTTATAACATCATATGGAATAAATTCAGAAGTATTTAGTCATTTGCATTAAATAGTCTTGCCCGTTTCAAAAGTACCTAATAGTAAACACAGGATTCAACCGAGATAACTACATCCAAAATGGTCAAACATGGTGTTCACCCCACTTGAAGCAAATAAACATAGCTTCAGAAAATTTTAGCCGCCCCTTTAAAGAGAGGAACAGGGATAGACTTATAGCTAATCACTAATTGGACCAGCGATAGCATAAGAAATGTATTCATGCTAATAAAATATTACAACTCCAATAGAAGGCTTAATAATAGTAATAAAAAAAAATTGTGGTGATGATCATAGATCACAAGCTTCACAAATTATAAAGCTCAAAGTCTTCCTAATTAAAAAAAAAAAATGTAAATGCAATGTAAACATATAAAAATGCGGTAAATTACAGCCAAGTAAAGAGATTTGTCAAGTATAACAAAGGTCCTATTTTATATGGTATAATTAGACCAAAAGAAATCTTTAGTGTAGCACATAGGTCTAGTCCGACATCTCCAATAATATTTGTGATTAATATGCAAACAAATGCCCCATTATTACACTCATAAGACAAAGTTAAAAACTATCCATTAAAACACAGAGGACCATTTATCCCAACATCCACAAAAAATTTGTTTTGCATGTAAAAATAGAAAGGATATCTACAAGCAACACTGACAGCTTCCTTATTTAAAAGGCTAACATAAGTTTAAAATGAACCACCAAACTAATACACCTAATACAATCAAATCTTTAAGACTTCGGTAAATAATTGAAAACAAATTTTCGCAAATTTGTTGCCTTATTCAAGATTTGCTAGTTATATTGCACAAAAAGGTACTTAGGTGTTCATTGTTAGTTATGCAAATATATAAGATTTGAGTGTAACATGATGAATTGCCCAAAAATGAAAGGTATATGAGCAGACGGCCCTAGTTAAAGGATTGGGCTACAGTATAGCCTTCGTAGGCGGGCAGCAAAGAGTGTGAGAAACAGATGAGAGGAAAACTATGAAATCTATATAATGCAGTCTTAATTTTGGACCTCAATGTTCTGAGATAAAAAAGTATAGCATACTAGATAATCCATAAATGAAGAATATTGAGGTGCTATCAAACAATAAGAAATGGGGCTGTGAGAAAAGTCCTGGTTATTTTGGTATCAGGAAAGATGCAAAAATGATCTCCCGATTATTTCCAGAGGGCTATTTTAGTCCCTGACTTTGAAAAAGGGCCAAGATGGTCCCCCAACTCTTTTAATAGGCATTGCAGTAGTCCCATAGTTAAAACAAACATAAATAGATATTAGGGTGTTAAAAAACTTGATTTTTTTTTTCCAGTAATTCTAACTCATTAATAACCTTATTGTAATATCATTATAATGAAATTCATGAACTTCTATTTTTTTGTGATAAGAAATTAAAAGTTTACATTTATATATTGAATTTATTGCTCTTTTCAAAAGACTACAATATACTTTTTGGTTGTTACAAGATATGTATAATTATGATTATTTGATTTTATAAATTTTAATTGACTAAAATCTTTATAAAAAAAGAGCAACACTATTATACATGTTGTTCATTATTGTATACTTGTTGTAAAAATTATATTATACACAATTGATAATTTAAAATACCCAAAATACCTAGAAAAGTTGTAAAAATGGGATAAACATTAGTGAAGGTGTGAAAATAACGTGTAGATTTTGGTTTGATCCATTGGATCCTCGAGAGCTTGACAAATACCCAATTCTAACCATTCCATATGCCCCGTTATTGATCAACAAAATTTATATACGATATATAACAATCTCTAAATGATTTTGTCCGAATCACTTTAGTTAGGGTTCATTTTTTTTTGTGAGACCTGTCATGCCATGAATACCCTTAGACTCCCATTAATGATTCAACCTTTGTTTCGATTTCAACCGGCTTGACTTGGGTTAGTCTAGTTTGACCAAGGGTTATATAGGGGTAGACCAAACTAAATTTTTTAAGGTTTTTGGATTGTTAGGAATATGCTCGTGATCCATCTCCATACGTTCCCTTACTGCTATTCACTCCTAAGGGCATCTACGAGGACCCATTCTTGTAATAGTAGACCAAAGTGCTCCCGCAGTCATTCCTACTTGAGAGCTTCTAAAGGTCAGCAAATACAAGCATTCAAATATCAACAAATCACATGACCAAGAAACTAAGAGAATATAACATATAAATATCATTAATACCATTGGCCTTATCCCGACAATTTGGGCCGGTTCTATGAATCCCACACCTCCATTCATTCCAACCAAGCATTGCATGATTAAGATATAGGGAACCTTTTGTGCAAGTTGGAACAATCAATAATCAAACTTGGCGAAGATAAATACAACATAGAATGCATGAAGCATGGAGGATACGTCCAGCAATATTTGGTGGAACAGCATTATAAGAGTATCTGCAACAAAAGAAAATAACAGCATAAATTGGGAGATTTCATAGAAAGCTAATAAAATAATGCAGGACTTATCAAACTAACTCTAGTGTGATACTCACAAAGAGTAATTGTCACGAAAGAATTAGAGAAGGACGGCAATTCACACACACACACACACACACACACACACACACACACACACACACACACATACACACCCTATGAACACACCATGTTCGAATTTTCCCTTTGCCAATATCAAATCAAAGCTATCTCAGAGTTTATTATGCGAATTGATGGCTAGAATATCTGCCGCAATTAGACCATCAAGGAACATTCATATAGCATGTCAATATTACCACCAAAAAAGCTTATGTTGCATTTCAATAAAATCAAAATTATATATCGCAAAGTGCAAGCAAGCTTTTTGAAAGACAAGTATTACAACAAAGCAACAGCACAATAATTTGAAGCAAAGGATGCTTGTTTTGTGAAGAGACAAAAAAAAAAAAAGCAAACTGTGGATTAGCTAGCGAAAAAGAAGAAGTAAGAATGCCGAAACATGCTAGTAAAACAATGTTTTACAAGCCTAAAAAATACAAAATAAATTAGGTGATTGGTAATGATAGGCTGTTGCTATGGTGTGTTGAATTTTACAATATAAATTGACCATTAATAGTACAAATATCAATAACCTGCTCAACAAGCAAAATGCACAAAATAACCTGCTCAACAAGCAAAATGCCCATGAATTGTGAAGTCATGGCAGAAGTGCATCATCTATCGAAAGCTTTAAATTCCAAGTTTGCGCACAAATAAAAATTTTGAAATGGAAAACTTTTTGTGGCAATCTCATGTAGAACCCTAAAATATTGGCGATTTATAAAACAAACAATCTCCTAACCCATTCGTGAAATCATTGCCCAAATGTTAAGATTCACAACAACAGCCATTATTCTTAATTTCTTCAAAGTTCCAAAAAAATTGAAATGCAGCATGCGCAAGCAAGGGAGTTTTATTAGTTCATTTTTGCTTTTTATGGATTGTAGTTTTGCAAGGAAAATCGATTTTACATGCATGTAAGTAAATCATCCCACTGAAAATAATATCAGCAAACCAAGCCTAGTCTATAACATCCATTGCCATTAATCATCTTGGAAGAGGACTAAAAATTTAAGCTAGAATGACATCATGTGCTATCATCAAGTAAAACCCAACACATTTTACCTGACCCGACAAAACATAGGAACAATAAACCATGTTAAAAGGTAAGCAGAATTACCGATTGAAGTCGTCAACAAGATTAATTGTAATATTTGGTTTCCAGTAAGAAATCCATTCAACACTGTCCTCATCTTTGGAATCAGGCTGGACATCATCCTTGACCTATAATCATCAAGAAGATATAGTTGCTAGCTCATAACAATAAAATAACGATGCACAACATTTTCCATCCAAAACAAATCCAATAACAAATAATGAGCACAGGAAAAAAATCACCGCAAACAATAAACTAACTTCTAGGTTCAATATTTCCTCTTCAGATTCCTTTGAGTTAAGTAGGTTTCTTCTTTTGCCTGACTTAGGCTTGGGATGATACACCACAACAGCTGAAAATAAGAAATTACTTAATGCTTCAAAATGGCATAGGATGTTTAAATTTTTTACTGCCTGAAATGGTGTTCTTACGATGGGTCCTCGAGAAAGAAGATTGTGGTTGATATTCAGAATCATTAGGATCTGGGGAGTACCCCGAGCGAGCAAAGAAAACATGAGCATAAAGGCTCCCATTATGCTTTAGTGCCTACAAGTATTGATATGTTAAAAAAGCTCTTATTAACAAATAAAAAAAATACAACAAACAATACAAAAAATAAAAACGGAATCATATTGCACCACAAATACAGTTAGAAGTGTCCAGTAATACCTCAGATGGAGTATACTGCAGAGAAAGTGATCTACTACTTGCTTGTCCCCACACAGCATATGGGATATTTGATTCATGCCACAATAGGGCACCATCATTTCCGAAATCGTTGAATATTTGTTGGTCAGAAAGATACAGCCACATATCCTAGACAATTAAGAAACAACATTTATTAAAAATATATACCATCAGTCATAAGTGAAGAGATAAAGTATTTAAATATAGTTAGGAAAGTGATATTTGTAAATTATTGAAAAGATCATGCAGAAAACAAGCAGAAACACGATGATAATGTATCATGAAAAAAAAAAAAAAAAGCTCCATCATGCAAGGTATACTTTTATCAATTATCCCGTCTCCTTTTATCATATACAAATATCATGTCCCAAGTCAAGATAATAATGCAGTCAAACATAAAGGTAGCTATCTTTTTAAAAAAGGGTTTATAATTAATGAGCATGTCAAAAGCTTAAAGCACTAGGATTACCCTAGAGTTAATTCTCTATATAGGAATATTAAAGCCTTTAAAATTCATAAAAAATGGCAATGGGTAAACTCCATATCAAACTTTGTAAGTCTATTTTTCAAACTGCATGTCTTTTTAATTATCTTGTAACCTTTTCTATAAGATAATCATTCCTTAATATATCCTTACTAGTTTTAGCACATATCAATCTTCATATTCTTAATTAATTTCATTCAACTTAGATATCAATGACTTCTTTACTGCACAACATTAGACATACAAACAACATCACTGGCCTAATTGCAACTTCATAAAATTCACACTTATGTCTTAATATTCTCTTACAGCAAAATACTCTTAAAGCACTTCTGCATTTTAACTATATAAAATTAACTCTATATATAATATCAATATATAAAATATATGACATATCATATCTTAGTATCATTTCATCATTAAAAAATAATTATAAGTTTATAAAAATGATGTAAAACACCGCTATATCTTTTCAAATACTCAGCCGAAGTATCATAGAAAAATAAATATTACTCCAATTAGAAATACAAAAGCTATAAAAAATTATTATTGCAAGTTTTTTCTAGTTGACTTAATGGTTTAATCAGTAAATATTCCTATATTGTCTCTAGCTTGAGATCTGCTCCACAAAAAAATACTACGTTTACTGGACATATTTCTATCGCTTCTACGCCATGCTCTCAGTTCTATTTGGTGTTTAAAAAGTGATCTTCAAGGTATATAAGAAAAATACATTCTAAGGATCAATAAAAAAAATCTTTGGATAAGCAAATCATTCTTTTCCTTCAAAGGTTCTAATCATTATGGGAGTCATAAGTGGAGACTTGAAACAATCTAGAGAGGCCATCCACATATACAAGCATGAGGCTTGCCTATCAATTACTTAGTTCTCTTTCATTATTATTTGTGGCTTCTTCTCTTCCATATCATGAATTGTTTGACTCGATATCAAATCTATTAAAATATTTCTCTATGAAAAAAAAATCATATTTCTCCATGCACAGAATTTTAATCACTTGTGTGACTTTAGTGATCAATAATTTATTGGTAATTTTTATTTACAAGCTAAAATCTTTTTCACTTAAATTTGAATTTAACCGTCTTGACTTTCATTAAAGTAATAAAACTTTTGAAGATTAATAGATTGCTTTCCCATGAAAGTTGCATGTGTCTTACATCGGTGACTGCATTTTAACGTACATGGAACACAAGACGTGCATTGAGGTGTCAATGTTGTGCCTGCTTCCGCCCTAACCGATGGGAGACTCAACCCAACAGACGACGAACCATCCAAGGAGGACCAGTCTGGACCGGCCAGACATAGCCAGACCAACCGGCGGCCTAGACAAGCCTAGAGAAGCTAAATCACTAGGAGATGTTGCGCACAATTCCAACGCCCATGTGGGGCCTACATAGCCACTAATCACACACAAAAGGAGGGGAATTTGAGGGGGTGTGGCAGAGTTTGAAGGGATCTGGGTGAGTATTTATTAGGGCTAATTCACTAGGGTTTGTTTTTATATTTTGACTTGCTACATTTTTTCTTTTCTTTTGATATTCCTAGCGGCGAATAAGGTTTGTGAAAAAATGATTAACCTCTCGAATAGTAGATCAACTTTGTATCTTATTTTTTTTCGATGGTATTAATAAAATCAGCCCTCAATTGAGTTCTCCCACATCTCTATTGCAATTTTTCCACTATTTGTTTGTTATTTTTCGTTCTGGGTCGTATCAAATTGGTATCAGAACGAGATCTTGGAAGAATTGTGGCAAAGAAAATGAATGTGTTGGAAAGAGAAGTAAAGCAAATCAAATCGAGAATGGAAGAAATGTTCGCTACCATAGAGGATAGATTTTCTTCCATAGAGAACTAAATGGAGGACCGATTCAGGAGCATGGAGGAAATGATGAAGAGGTTTATGAAGATGCAATCCAAGACACCGCCGAAGGTTCAAATTGCAAAACCTCACAAGGGTCAATCAGAGAATCGTTGGCCAAATCGAAAGGGAAGGAGATTTAGATTCATACCTGATTTGTTTTGTATCGAATATGTCAAAATTTTGAGTCAGGTGGATTGTGTGGGTTGAATATTGGTATAATACTTCGTATCACAATGCGGCACAAACCACCCCTTTCATGATTTTTTATGGGCGGGAATCACCTCTCCAAATATATTATGGACATAGCACTACATTGGTATCCAATATCGACCCGTACTTGGAGGAGAGGGGCATAATATTGGCAGAACTCAAGGAGCATCTACTGAGAGCTCAACAGAAATGATAAGGTAACCAGATGGATAAAGAGAGATAAAATTCAAACTCGGGGACATGATTTACTTGAAACTGAGACCCTAATGACAGAAGACATTAGTCAAGCAAAGGAGCGAGAAAATTTCTCCACGATATTTTGGACCTATGAGATTACGACACACATTGGAGCAATGACCTACAGTTTGAGGTTACCAAATCATTAACACTACAACTCGTCTTCAATGTTTTGTAGCTAAGGCATACTATCGTAGATCACACACTCTCTTCTTCACTACCTCTGATATTGACAGAGGACCTGGAGGTGATTCTGGAACCTTTAGAGGTCGAAGGAGTGCACCGACGAGTGGTTGTAGCAAAGAAGGTATTAATTAATTGAAAAGATCTACCAGATTATGAAGCAACGTGGGAGCCTTACGCAATGATCCAAAAGCAATTTTCATCCTTCCACTTTGAGGACAAGGTGCTTCTTTAGGAGGGGAGACTTGATATGCATACACCTGCTTCCTCCCCAACTGAGAATGAATTGATCCACGGAGGACCATTATGACGACAAATCCTCTCACCGTCCCTCAGAAAAAGGAAATCAAAAGGGAGATTTAATTTCAATCCTGCAAAGTGAGGAAACTTTAAATCCCACCAAATTAAATCCAATTTCTTCTATGACTTGTTTTAAATCACGCATTTAATAAATCCTAACACTGATGGATTTACCTAAAGCACGCAAATCTCGTGAATAGAACACTTCTTGCTGCCATCAATGCTTCTCCACGAGCTCATTTTGCAACTCCTCTTGCTCCTTTGTTGTCAAGGTTTGCGCATTAGGGAGAAAGATGAGGGTTTCACGTGCTACGATCTAGTTGATGCCATCACTAGCTAGTTCTAGTCGCAACTTTCACACACATTTTTACATGTTAAGGAATTTAAATGAAATAGTATGGAAGGGGAAGAAGAAGAAGATGGTTTTTGTTAGGTACAATTTTAATTATAATTTATAAGTTAATTTACAAATTATAATTAACTAAAAAATATAACAATTAATTTAATATTGTTAATAATATAACTTAATTCTTAATTAATACTTAATTATTTAATTAAATATTATGTTATACTAATTGTTATTAAATTATAGGGGCATTTACATACATACAACACAATTCTTATGTATTTACATATCTAAAATCTTAAGTTTCATATTTACATGTATAAGACTCAAAGTTTTAATATTACATCTAATAAAATACTATTACTAACTCCTTAAAAGTAAAAAAAACTTTTCATACATAGATTTGTGACACCTAAGTGTTATAAATGTAAATATTAAAATTGAAGTTTTAGATATGTAAATGCATCGAAATTACGTGGTATGTATGCAAATTTCCTTAATTACTTTAATTAATGACTGATAAATATTCATTAATGTAAACTTAGCCTAAAAAATCCTAAGCAATGATTAAATCCATTAAAATTTTATTAATTGGTGATAACATAAATACAAATAATAAAGTTAAAATAAATTGAACTAATATATTTAAATTTTGAAAAAAGCTACGATTTCATAAAATTCCATGTCATGTCAAACAATTTTTGGGATTTAACCGTATCATAAGTTAATAAATCTGAATTTATAGGATTTACAATATCCTACTTGGTTAAATCCCAAAAGTTACAAACAGCCCTTAAGATTTTCACCGTCAAGCAGGTTGAATGAGATGATAAAAAATTCCTAATAAGGCTCATTGAGAAAATCAAAAAAAATTGTCCCACAAATTTTAGTATTCATGCAATTACATAAGCTGGGATAAAAAAACCAAAAGGTAAATCATGATGGTTTGATCTAGCACTCAGAAGAAAAACAGCAACTGATCCGATTGCTACGGACCTCTGGAGACCTCAATCCCCTATTGAGTGCATCTCAGAATCATTAAAAATGGATGAAACCCACATCTCTAATATCAAAACAAACGGAACAAATAACACAGGAAATAAAATAGGATCTGCAAACGAAACAGACCAGTGGCTCTCCCTTCTGAAAGAGGTTGGACATGAGTTGCGAGGGGTCAGCGGGTTTCTTCGGGGAGAAGAATTTCATGGCGAAGTAACACATGACCGCCATCCGGATTATTCCGGTCACCGTCTGGCCAAACCCTTGCTGCTGCTGCTGCGGCCGCGGCCTCGCCGTCGTAGCAGGCGTAGCCTGCGTAGCCACCGGTTGCGCCATCGCCCGCCGCAGAAGAAGGCGATGAACAATTGGGACAAACGAAGCGGATTCCCGAGCTTGAAAGAATGGAACCTTGCGAGCTCGTTTTACGAGTCGGCCTGGCGGAGAGATTTTAGAGGGGCACTTAGGTCGTTCCAAATAGTACACGTCCTAATAGAAGAAACAAAGGGATTTACATATATATCACTCATTTCTTATGATATTCCATATTTAACGCCTATAATTTCAATATTACATATATACCTTTTAATTCTTTTCTTCTTGTATCTACAACTCCTTGAGGTTTGCCGTTAGAAATAACCGAGAAGGCAACGACCTGATCGCGGAGTATAAAGAACCGAAACTCTCTTCATTGCGACATACAAAGATCACTTCAACTTTCTCGTGATGCCTCCTTCAGCCTCGCGGAATGCAATGATGGGACTGCGACGTACATAGGCCTCTGAAACTCCCATTATTGCGGTGTTCAAAGACTACTGAAACTCTCTTATGTCGCTTCCTCTAGCCTCGCCCCTGCAAATGAAAAGACGGGATCACGACATACAAGACTCATCTTTCTCCTCCTCCAGCTCTGCTATTACGCAACGGAATTGAGGCATATAAAGACCTCCAAAACTCCAATCTTTCTCTTCCTTCGGCCACACTCCTACAATTGGGAAGTCAGCGATGAGATCGTGGCTTACAAAAACCTCCAAAACTCTCCTCTTTTTCATCCTTCGACCCCACACTAACCTAAATTGTTGAGTAAGCTTCACGTTCATGATGAAACAATGTTGCAGCAATGCGGCTGGAGGCGAGATTGCTACCGTTTGTAGATTAGATAACAAAGTTGTAGGGAAATAGAGATAATTGGGTAGTATGTATGCAATATATTGGCTTTTAGTGTTAGATATTAATCTTATAGGAATTGGGTGATATGTGTGTAAACCCCCCTTGAGAATATACAAATGATATTTGCATCTAAAATTGGGTAATAATAAAGCCAAATCGAACTGTGAGTCAACTTAGATTTATCTCAATAAGTGGCTCATGATTTGAGATTGATATGGTGATAAGCCAAGCTCAAGTCAACCCTAACTCGATTTATTAGCTCGTGAGATTGCTCATTTAAAACATATTAATACAAAATACACTCGAATTTAATTAGAACTAAAAAAATTTAACTATAATTTATTATTATTTATCTTCTATAATTTCATCCTTTTATCCTTTTATTATTACAATAGCTTCAAAATTTAGCTCAAATTTAAGGTTGAAGTCAATTAATTCATCTAGTCAAAGTTAAGCTAAGAATGACTCGAGTATGACTCGACCCGTTCACACCCTTAATCCTGAATTAGTAAAATGGAAATTAATTTTAAAATAAACTTTATAGCTATAAAAATTATTTTTTAATTTATAACAAATATTAATTCATCAAATCTTATCCAAGAATTATGAAGTTAAATAAGAGAAACATTTTTTATTTTAGGGATTGTATTTAATTTTTTAAATAAGTTATGTAGCTAAAAAAAAAATCAGTTGGGCAGCATACTCATATTTCTTAATTTGAATGTACATCTTTTTTATAAAGAATAAGATTACTAAGACGATTTGCATTGCATCAATGATGAACTTTTGTGGTCTGCAACATCATATATAATATTATGTAAAAGTATATAATATATATATATAAATATTTAATAATAATAAAAGAATATCACCACTTTTCATCAACTAAAATATAGACATAAGACGCCATTCTAAATAATTTAAAAATTTGTATTAGTAATTTGTCATTGTTAATTTAGAATGACCCGTTATCATTATTTTTATTCTAATAATAATAAAAATTATTATGTGCAGAGTTCAAATGCATGTGAACTACGTGTAAAAAAATGTTGTGCAACAGTGTATAACACACAAAATTCGCATGCATGCAAACTCTATACGTAATATTCTCTCGAAGAAAACAAAATATGGGACGTCTTTAATTCTCATCACTCTTCGTTCACACACTCTCCCTGTCGTTATAATACAAAAGGCCACTCCAAAAGTAGTATTTTTTTTAATTATTTGATATTTTTTTTTCACTAGTTATTTTTCGCTGTTAAAGATTTATTTACCTACTTCATTTTTTGTTATTTTTAAGAAAATTATGTAATGGAAGCTAACTTTTCTTGAAAAAAATAAGGAACATTTACTATCATATCACATAATTCTTACGCATTTATTTATCCAACACTAAATGTTAATTTTCATATTTATAGCATTTATTTTTTTTTTGCATCACATCAAATTATCACTACTTTTAAGAAATGAAACACAAGTTTTATAAGCATAGGTTTATTTACATAGATATAAAGTACAAATTATGTGTTAGATATATATATATATATATATATATATATATATATTGTGGGACATGTCATAAAGATTAACATGCCTTATGGGCTTCGAAGGCCCATAGGACATAGATCAAATCATTTTCGAGCTGAGCGAAGCCGAAGTGGTCGAGGTAAGCTCACTTGTCGAAGTGGTCGGGCTATGCCCACCTGCCGAAGTGGTTGGGCACAGCCCACCCATCGAAGTTATTAGTATTACACAGAGCAAACCGACTATCAGGGAAGATCATAATTACGTACGAGCATAGGTGTCAATCCTTATTTATGACACCATTTGACACTTGCATCATAATCTTTTCACCAAGACACCATGGACAAAAATGGTACCATACAAAATACAATTTTTTTAATTTCTTTTTTCTCATGTATAAAAGAGAAGGGACTCTTGCTCTTTATCTCTCTCTTTACTTCTAGGGATCTCGAAATGCAACTATTCCTCTCATTCTCTCTCTCTCTTCCCCCATTTTCTCTCTATCTCTCTCCCCCTACAAGCTAATTTCTGGTCTCCCAGGAATCAGGAGCACAAGGAGAGTGAGAAGCGCGATCTTAGCAACACATTTATCATCTTCTTCCATACCTTTCCATTAAAAATAAAATCTTTATCCAATTGTATGAACTCATGAACAAAACGGGTCTCTATGCTCTAAAATGATTCACCATCCTAAAATGTGCGGAGAGCGTGAAGTTCATACTCAAACCTTGCAAGAAGATCCTTCAGCGTATGAAAGAACAAAAAAAAAAAAAAAAAGGAGTGGCATTAGATAGTTCGTGATAAAACTGATAAATTAAGTGAGGAAAAAAGCCCTGAAAGTCATATAAGATTAAATAAAAGAAACCATATTTTGTTCCTAAGCTTAACCTAGGACACACATGAGATCATTAGTGTATGTGGCTTGTAGATGAGAAACATTAAGAAAATGACCACTAAGGTCATAGACACCTGGGCATGACTTACTAAAATTAGGACCAAGATGGGCTCTTGGTCCTAGTTTAGAAAAAGCAAAAGAAAAGTATGATCCTCATGCCATAGAGGATGAACTTTTTTACTCCTTGAACAAAGAATCTGTAAGAAGAATAATAATAATAATAATAAGTCAATTAGTGGATATTTCATAGTGTCTCAACTTTTGGATTGAGAATATCAACATCAAGCAATGTTTTTCAATGAGCGGAGATTTCATTTCAGCGGGGATGAAACACCAACTAAGATAGTATAGAGTGTTCTCTTTCCCCTCCTTTTTTGGGCTAGAAAAGTTCCTATCGACTCATCAAGAGTGGTGATATCTAGGACTTGAGTTTTTAATAATTGAGGATTCAAGAAGTAGCATTTGATATCATCAATAGCATGCTGACATGCCTCGTCCCAATGGAAACATACATATTTCTTGGTCAGAGCAGAAAAAGTCTGACATCGACCAGAAATGTTCAAAATGAATCTCCTAATAAAGGCAAGCTTCCTCTGAAGGCAACACAATTGCGTCAAAATTTTAGAAGGCTTCATTTCCATGATGGATTTAATCTTGTTGGGATCAATCTCAATGCCCCTATGACATAAAATGAAACCCAAAAACTTCCAGAAAGATACGCCAAAGACGCATTTCAACAAGTTCATCTTCAGATTCCAAAGAATTCAAAAACAGTCCTCAAGTCTGAAAGGAGATTATCTTCAAAACGAATCTTAATTACCACATCGTCGCTATAACACTCGACCTGATGATGTAGCAAGTCATCGAAGAAATGTGTCATAGCATGCTGATAGGTTACCCCGGTATTCTGTAATCCCGAGGGCATGGCCCTGTAGCAAATTATGTCGATTAGAGTACAAAACGCCGTATGTTGTTCCTCATCTAGGGTATCTGATTTTGATTATAACCATATAAGCAGTCCATGAAGAAAAATATCGCATGAGAAGAGGTGACATCGACGAAATCGGCAAAGGGAAATCATCTTTCGGGCAGACCTTATTCAGATCCCAAAAGTCAATGCAAACTTGTATTTGTCTGTTCTTCTTTTGAATGGATACGACGTTTGTGTGCCATGTATGGTAGGAGACCTCCCCAAAAAAGCCCCTTTGATGAGCTTTTTGGTCTATGCAATGAACTTTTGCTCTATCTCGAACTGCATCCTCCAAGGTGTTTGCTTCACAGGAATAACGCTAGTCTCGATGGTCGAACGGTGTATGACCACTTCTAGGGCTAGACAGAGCATCTTGACATAACTCCAGGCAAGACAATCACGAAACTCTTTCAAGATTTATATAATCTTAACAGCCATATAATCTGATAAGAGCTTGCTAATATAAGTCAAATGAGGATCATTGATCAACCGTACAAAAGTTGATCTCAATCAACTCATCAACTGTCAAAGAGACACTATCCTCAAGCTGGGAGAGGCAACTTTAACTTCGACCCCCTCATTAGTAGATGTGAGGATATAAATGCCTTTATGTGTAGAAATCATTCTACATGAGGCTATGAGGAATCTGGTTTTATCAGGCCATCTAACACAGCCTAGTCCCGATCTTTCCCCTAAGGGTGCCACATAGCCTTACACAACTTGGCTTGGTGAGCATGCCACCTCTTGGGCAACAACCCAACATCAAGTATTTTATAGATGAGAGGAGAGCAATAGTAAGAAAGAGGAATATCCCCTGCTTCTTTATTCTCATTATTTGAAAGCATTACATCAATATTTTATACAAGAGGAACAACTTTATAAAATAAAATGCATTTCTTCTTAGACTTAGGTCTCTAAGGTACATATAAGGTTTTCATCTCTTCAAAGGCGGAGGCACATGCAATCCTCAGCTCCCTATGAGGACCTCGTGGTATGGGGTTAATGGTCAACACCTCATCCGACAAGAAGAGCCTGGACAAACGAGGAATCATGCCCGCTGAGGGTAGTAGAAGTATCTCCTCGTCAGCATCCTTCTGGTTGCATCCAAACAAGCTCCTTGGGCAATGCCTCGTCTGGCTCGGACACAAAGTCTGATACAGCTTCGGTCTTCATCTTACTTGATGGTAAGATGGGGAGCCTAGGCTCACAACTCAAACCTAAGGGGGCACGACGCTTTTCCTCCCACTCCTTTTATTTCCTTGCCTTTAACAAAGTGGGAACTAGGAAGGGGAGGGACACATGGACATCCTGACAAAATCGAGATTGGGATAGATGCCTTAGATGGTACGTAGCACTCTGCATTATCATAAACTCCCACCTCTTTAATAGAAAAGGAACCCCGAGGATAGAGAACTATTTCCCTCCACGCATATATTTGATGCACTGGTGAAGGGTGGAAGATACCATTCCATTCTCATGGATCCATAAGCATCCGAGCAAAGCTCTAAAAGATGTATTCTCATCGATCACATGAAATTTGATTTCACTCTTGAAGTCTTCAAATTGGAGAGTCAAAGTGATAGAGCCAAGGGTCTTTTGACCCTTCTCATTGAAGTCGTTGAGTAAAATCCTATCGGGGCATAATCTCCTCTTGCTCAAGGACAACAGCTCAAGCATACAAATGTTGATGATATTCACTAAAGCGTTGGGATCAATCAAGATACAGTTTAACAATGCCGTAAATTCTGGTTGTTATGTATATTGGACGATTGTGATCCGTGGTGCACAAAAGCGAGTCTTCCTTGATGAAGTAACGACAACCGCGCCCGGCTGCATAACCACCTCCTTCATCCTTTCTTTCGCATAATATGCATGGAAGTCATCGGGCTCACGAAGAGCTCTAATCAAGGCCTCTCTCAACTCAGAAGAAAGAAGAAACACATCATAAAAGCTCAAAGCGGCTAAAAACCTCTTGAGGTGTGTCAACACATTATGCCTTCTGCTCAAACAGGGGTGTTTGGTGATATGGTTGGGAACTTTCTCTCCTTACCATTGGGGCATAAACTCCAACACACTTAATAATTTCTAATAAATTACAGTTAAGGGTGGTTCAACTCTTTATCTCTCTCTCGCCAAAAAAAAAAAAAGAAAAAATAAGTGCTTGTGCCCGACTTGCCTTGGTGTATGCTTTTCACTCGTGATATCCTTCTTGTGGATAAGACTAGAAAAAGAGTTCAGAAAAAAAATTTAAATTATGGAGGTCTACATTGGAGTCTAAAGGCGTGAGTAGATCTAAAACTGAATGCATTGAATGTAATTTTGGTGGTAGGAGGTCTAGTGGTAGAGTTGTAACTATGGATGATCAAATCATTAAAAGGTGTGAACGTTTTAGATATATCGGGTATATTGTTTAAACTGATAGTGATATGGATGGGGATGTTTTTAGTAGAATTCAAGTTTGTTGGTCGAAGTTGGTTAAAGTGGAGATTTGCATCGAGCTTATTGTGTGCTAGAAAAGTACCTCTTAGACTTCAAGGAAAATTTTATAAGGCGTCATTGAGACCCGCAATGCTTAATAGCGCAGAATTTTGGCCTTTTAAAGAGAAGCATAAAACTAAGTTAAGTGTTGTTTAGATGAGAATGCTTGGGTGAATGAGAGTGGCTTGACACTTAGGGTCTATTTGGGGCAACTGTAGCTTATTGATAAGCTAAGTGCGATGACTATTACAAATTATTATTTTTTTGGAAAAGTCAGACCATTGCCAATAAACTCCCACCGCACCTAGATAGGTGCGATGTGAAAACGCTATTTTCTGTGTTTTGAAAACACATAAGCTGTCAAAACGCAGTTTACTCAAACAGGTCAGACGCGTTTTCAAAACGTCACCGCACCAAATAATCTGCCCAAACGGGCCCTTAGAGACAAAATTGAAAACGAATGTATCTATGAAAGTGTTGATATAGCTCCAGTGACAGACAATATTAGAGAAAGTTGTCTTAGATAGTTTGGTCGCATTAATCGTCGGCCATCTAATTATTCGGTTAGGAGAATAGATGTTTTAGATTCAACTTATGTTAATAAAAGTAGTGTTAGACCTAAAAAGACTTAAGCATATTCTTTAAAAATTAATCTTAATTAATTAGAATTTAATGAAAATATGACACTCAATAGGGCGCAATGGAGTAAAAAAGGATTCATGTAGACGACCCACTTAGTGGTGTAAAGGCATGTTGTTGTAGTGGTGTCTAATTTGCACATATATTGTGTTGTCAAATATTACAATAAATTTGCATATATTATGAATTTTGTACTTAGCATAGGCAGATGTGCCACTTATTATATTCCATAACCCAAGTTCTCACAAAATCAATTATAAATAAAAAAGGTCCAGCAATATAAACATGCAAGCTTTAGCAATGCAACTTCCATTCCTATGAGACCATTGTAGGCTTGAAAAGCAATTTTCTTTCAAGATAGAAAAAATAGCGAAAATTAAAAAAAACTTCACAAATTTTTGCGTTGGGGTATTATAAACCAAACAAAAACAAAATCTATCAAAATATAGCAACAATTAAGCAGAACTTGGAGAGTAGCATAGAGACAGTATTTCATTGCACTTTACACAGATATCATGACAACAATTTATCCAAACTTGATGGTCTTAGGAATAAGGGGAACTTTTTTTTGGCCAAACGGAGAGGGGCCGCACAGCGAGGTCAGGTTGTATTTGATGGTGAGTCAACAGTTGATGCAATCCACATGAAATCTGCTTGATCTCCCCTAAGCACACAGATCATCTTGGAAATGATGAATTTATGATTTAGAATAAATGAACTTTAGATTAAACATAGAAATTGAAAAAAGTTAATTTTCCAAGCAAACAAGAAAACTCAGGGAATTTAAAAGTGAAGAAGGTTTTGATGAGTTTATAAACCTCCTAGTCTCCCAACAGTGAATCTTAAAGTTTGCCTAGAAAATTAGTATTTTCATTGAAGGAAAGGTAGGTTTTGGTTCACATTTTGTTATTTGAACATAAAAATTTTTCAAAATCTAAATGAGTTTTCATTAAATCAATAAATTATTACCACAAATACTTAGAACCTGCGAAAAAAAGAAGAAAATTTACATAGCACACAATTCAATGTATTTACATGTGTAAACACCTACGCTTTCATATTTACATTTATAGCCTTTTCGTGTCATAAACCTATACATGAAAAGATGTATTTCTCTTTTAAATAAGTGATAGTGGTTTTTTTTTTTTCGTGATATTAAATATTCAAGTGCTATGCATGTAAATAAAAATGTTTAGGTATTAGATATGTAAATGCATAAGAATTGTGTGATATGTATGTAATGCCCCAAAAAAAACATTTATATCCAAATTCAAAGAAAGCAAAGCAGCAACATGAGTTTTCATAGTAACAGTATAAAGAACCACAGGAATTGAAGCATTTTATACAGGACTTCAATTTTCCTAATTAGAGAACAATGCAACAAAGGCATAGAACTGGGAAGCAGATTACTTATTCACATTATATCCTCCTTTAACAGACTCCATCTCTTATAAAGAGGTTTAAGTTACTACACTGACCTTGACTTGAATAATTTTGGATCTGGTTGGATAAGGGACTGCTTCTCAGGGCTTGAAGGCGTGCTACCAAATTTGTGAACAAGATACTTGAATATCGGAACAAAGACGAAGTACAGCACGGCGAGTATGATCGGTGCGGCAATGATCCAGCCTAATAGCTGCAACAGCAAGTTTTGAAGTAAACATAAGGACTTCAGGTAAAATAATAGTATTGCTATGTTTAGTTAAGTTAGTTTGCTTTCCACCAGATGTGAATTCTTCTGCATCTTTGTTATTTGAAATATAACGGTATAATATTTTTCTATGAAACAGTAAAATATTCAGACAATGAAGATGAGTTAATTGTTTCTTACCGCATGTACTATGCTGAGGAGGACTTCTCGAGATGCATGGCCGGTCAAAACCTTTTTGAGGGCATCTGATGTCAACGGGAAATGAGCTCCACCGGTTATGAATTCACCTAGTCGCAAAAATGGTATCACCAAACTGAAGGACAAAGAAAAGTAGGGCTGAGATTGGAACTAAATATGAAAATTATAAGCAAAAATAGTAGAGAAATATTGGCATAAAACAGATAAAACCCAACTACTAATCTTCAATCTTCAAACCTTCGCAAGAGTCAATGTTTATCTTCATGAAAAAATTCATTGAAACAATCTTCCTGGCTTTGGTACGATGAAAATAGCATTGCCAATATATTTGCATACCAAAATGTTCAGAAAACGGAAAGAAAAAGCCTTTGAATTCTGAGTCAAAGAAATTTTAAGGCAGCATTCAGATTCAAAGAAGTCTAAGCAAGCATTGTGTAAGCCTTTCATCAAGGACTACTCCAAATTACTACGTATTGCACTTCCAATTTTGTTGCTATTGTTGACCTTCATATGTGCTCCATTCGCCGTATTCGTTTCTGTGTGAGTTTATCGTATCACGTGCATGAATTTTCACCCACATAAAAATTTTTCATCAGGTAAAAATGATAGCTTAGGTTTTAAACATTGGATAAAAGTCGCTCTAGAAATGGTGTAGGTGTAATTATAAATTAGTGTTTGAAAGATAATGTTGTAAAAGTTAACAGAATTGGAGATAGAATTGTAGTCCTAAAGATTGTTGTTGATACTATGATTTTTAATGTTATAAGTGCCTTCAGTAGGTTTAGATATAGGTTCAAAAGAAAAATTTTGGAATAACAGAAGAACTAATACAAATGATACCTTTTGAAAAAGAATTTTTAATTGAGGAGATCTAAATGGGTATGTTGACAGATTGGTAAAAGATTTTAGAAATATTCATAATGGCTATGGTTTTAGAGTGATTAATAAAGAAGGTAAAACTATATTAGATTTTCTTTAGTTTATGATTCTGTTATTGCTAATATTTTATTTAAAAAAATATATGAGCATATTATTACTGTAAAGAATGGATCTAATAAAACAAAAATCAATTATTTTCTTATGAGAAAAAAAGATTGTCGAGAATGCAAAGATTTTAGAATTACTCCAAGTGAAAATATAAGTACTCAACATAAATTATTAGTTCTAAATTTCAAAATGAAGAGTTATAAGATAAATAATACAATAAATCATTGTCATAAAATTAAATTGGGGCACCTAAAAGACATAGATAAAATTATTTATATGAATAACTTCAAGATTCCAAGATTTGGGATGTTCATGAAGAAACTAATTTTATGTGAGATAAAATAACAAGTATTATTAAACAAGTGTCAAAAGATGTACTTGGAGAATAAAAAAAAATATAAATAAAAATAGTTTGTGATAGAATAATAATGTGCAAGAAAAGATAAAATATTTTCTATAAAAATTAGTTTAAATATAAAAACTTAGAGAACTAAAAAAAATATAAGGTGGCCAGTAGTGAGTCTAAGAGAATACTTTATGACGCTAAGAAGTGATCTTCATAATAAATTAAATACTAAAAAAGGTGAAAAATATATGAATAAAATAGCCAAATAAAGAGAAAAGAAAATTAAAGATCTAATTAAAGCAAAAAGTAATAAAGATAAAAATCAAGGAGTGCCTTTCTTAGAGAAAGATATTCAACATAGGTGAATGAGCTATTTTGATAAACTTTTCAATGAATTTTCTGAAAATACAATCGACCTTAGTGATCATAATATCATTCATAATAATTTTTTTTTTAATTTTCACAGTTCCAGTAGTACAAAGGAAGTTGATGAGGCTTTAAAGAAAACCAAGTGTGAAAAATCATTGGGAACCGAAGGTATCCTTATTGAAATATGGAAATATCTAAGAGACTTGAGATTTTCTTGGCTTACTAAATCTTTAATATTATTTTAAAAACTAAAAAGATGTTCAAAAATTGGAGGAAGAATATTTTGGCCCCCATTTTTAAGAATAAAGAAAATATACAAGAATGTGATAATTATAGATGAATTAAGTTAATTGTCGTACTTTAAAATAATGGGAGAGGATAATTGAACATAGGCTAAGATGTGATACAAACATTTCTCATAATCAGTTTGGATTTATACCAGGCAAGTCTACCATGCAAGTTATATAGTTGTGAGAGGTTTGATGGAGAAGAATAGAGAGTAAGGAGGATCTACATTATTTTTATTGATTTAGAAAAAACCTATGATAAAAATCCATGAAAAGTTCTTTGGAGAGTTCAAGAAAAGAAGGATGCTGATATGATTTATATTCAAGTCATTAAAGATATTTCTCACATAGCTCAATCCATCTACGCTTGATGATGATCTTGTGCCTAATCCACATGCAACACCCTATAATTATATTCCCAATCTAGTTAACTCTTCGCAAATCTCTTGCCTAATCATGTTGGGTGACATGGCCCTATCACAATACTCAAATTGTTGCTAATAGGACCCCAAAAGTTTTATCAATTGTCCAAAAAAATACTCACTTAAACTTTCTATGGACAACTATAATTCCATTCATAGAAACTACTCATTTCACTTTATTCTTCACGCCTATGAGCAATAATGCCATGCAAGTCCTCGTTTTTTGAATTTCTCATCCTTCCTCCATGACTTCGGTTTTAGTGCAGAACACCTCATTATTTGCATTGCATATAGTCCACTAATCCACACATGTTATTTTTTAACCCATGACTACATGCCGAATTTCTCTTCTATACATCGCATAAAAGAATGAAAGTAAAGGCTAGTATCAAAAAGGAATTGCTTAGCTTTTCATTCTACATAGACGTGCTTACAAAGCAAATCCCCACTATAATATATAAATTATGGGCTAAAATTTTAAAGAATAACTGCTCCACCTTCAAAACTAAGTCCTGCCTAACTTGACAGGTATATTTTAACCTTAACTTGATTCCCATGAGCAATGAATGGGACTATGGGAAACATTACCCTGCCTCGTGACTTCAGGCACGTCATGTATGTCATAGTTCATGCGCCATACTAGCTGATTTCTATAATACAATTAAAGATATATGTTAAAGCTTTCATCTTTTCTTTATCGATGTAAAAATCTTATACTTTAGAACAAGCCTTAGTGTTTCCGTTTTAGTACAAAACAATTCTAGAACCATGCTTACGCGTGCATCAGTCTATTTCTAAATTCATAAGATTAGTTCGGAAACAATGGCAATTCTCAAGATCTTCAAGCGAGGCACCAAAAAAAAAAAAAAAAATGGGATCACTCAGCCCATCAATTCCTTATCCCAATGTTGTTCACCAACTCAAAGGAATAATATTTAGACCATTTAAATGTAGAAAAAGCTATAAGAAAATCTAGCGATATTAATGATTCATTGAGCTGATCATTATGTGTCTGTAGGTTCCATGGCAAATCAAGGATTATAACGAAGAGAGCAAACCAACAAATATTATCTCAAGAAAGACTCTCTATAACTAGAGGGGAAAAAATTAAAAAGGGCAGCTTGAGTAATTTTGTCCCAAGAACAAATCAAATATCATAAATTTCTGACCAATCAAAATACATTGTTCGCATTGAACCACACTGTATTTGATCACGGTTAAGTTAAATTTCTTGGCATTACAAATCACTAATGCTAACCGATGCTAGTTATCATTTTGTGATAATTGCATAGATAGCACTTGAAACATTTCTATTTACAAAACAAGGATCCAGTTGACTTTTCTTAACTACCGAACCAATGCATTTAGTGTACCACAATCAAATCATTGAGAATTTAATAAAAAAGAAAAAATATAGGTTGGGGTTCTATCATGAATTTTGGTATTTGAGTCAAAATGTGAAAAATTAATAAAAAATGGGTGCTAGTTTTGTAAATATCAATGTTTCGAGTGTTGCATTTAGATAGTACATATAGAGAACCAATTTAGTAAACAAAACAAAGCTGGGATTATGAAAAGTTTCAAAATAACACGATGGAAAAATATGACAATAATGCAAGTAAACATCTTCCAATATATATCATTCATTGTTATTTTTTTATGGGCAGATGATGATAAGTTCTTAGAGAGGATTGTGGAAAATATGCTGGAAAGGAAGCTATACATGCCTACAAGATAACAGCCAACCAGATAAAATTTTCAGTTACCATATGCTGGCAGCTAATCAGTAAATAAATATTACAACAATTTAATAAAAAGTACATAATGTTTATTAGGGTGACACAGAGAGAATACCTCAGCTCAATAGGAGTAGCAATGAAATTGGCTAGTAAAATGCTAGGAGCATGACAATGCTGCCCAAGTAATGGAATGGCAAATCCACAGAGAAGCAGTGTGACTCCTGCCAACAACAAAATAGATGTAATGTTTATAAGAGTGTCACTTTCAAATGAGCTATATGAAAACACATATAACATAGTAGTCAAATGTTGGATGCTTGTCACCCCAATGTAAGAATTCCACCTTAATACAGAAAAGAAGTTTTAAAAATTAATATTTTTGGTTTTAGTGTCTGTTTAGGATTGTTGCAATTGTTTGTAATATGATTATTGTTTTCTAAAGATATTCTAAATATTAGAGACTTTTTTTCCAACTGAAAAACATGGAAAACATTTTTTTTTTATAAATATTATGCTCTAGCAGATCTGTCAGTGAAAAGTTGCTTCTGAACACAAATTTATGAAAAGTTAAAAAAAAAAAAATTCAGTCAAACACAAGTGTTACAGCGATTTACAAAAAACAAAGCGACAAAAAGCTCCCTCACACAGAAAGAGGAAATATTACGTGCGGATCATTCGAATTGGTGGTATTGTAATGATGTTGTGGTGAATACCACCACAATATCTCTAAATCCACACCTACTCTGTCCGCATGTAATATTTCTTCCGCATCCTGAATCAATCTATTAACAAAAGTTCCATTTTCCTACTAATATACCGATGTTACACTGTTCCAATGGGAATTCAAGCCCAGACTATAGATAAAAGCAACCATCTTTATGGAATTGAGTTAAATCCCAAAAGTTATAATAATCTGTAAACTTTACAATGAAATTAAAAGGTCATAGGCAATCGTCATACCGCAAATGGGGAAAATTCCCAAGGTCAGACCAAGTGCTGTTGAAAACGCCAATAGCTTGGGTTCTGCACCTCTAAACAATAAAACCATACAATTATTAGAATGATCTTTCAATCAAACACAGAAGATTTATAAAATTCATCAACACCGGAAGGTAAAGCCGATAATACAACAATCTAATAATATATCTGAAACCTAAAAAGCATGAAGGGTCCGCCCTAGGTGCATTCAAACAATAATCGAGAGATAAAAATACATCAAAGAACAACCCTAGCTTACAGATCGGAGCCAAACTTAAAAGTAAAAATAAGCCAATTTCCTAAGCAGAAGATGATATCACGAAAGAACAAGAAGGGCGAAATCTCTAAGTATGAAATAAACAAATTTCTACTTCAATATGGGGGGTGGATTCAACGCCCCCCAAAGAACATACCTCCGAATAATCTGCAGGAAAGGATCAACAATCTTCTTTCTCAGCCAAGGCATCAAACCCAAACTGCAAATAGACATCTTTGCGGGCTTCGCAGCAAAACTGTTGCTTTGATTGGCGAGCTCCGACGAATTCTTGAACCAAAAAAATCAGATTTTTAATGCCTTAGGCTTCCGTTGGAACAGAAACGCTTCAACCAAAACTCCGCTCGCGGTTACTTGCAATGCTGATAAGCGAACAAAATTCCAACTTTGTTATTCATAAACCCGAGCTGGAGCGCAGAAGGTTTGGTTTTTGAAATATTTTTCTGCGTCTGAGAACCGGCGAAATTCTATGGCAAGGAAATGAAAGCGCCTGGTCAAACAAAGTGCAAAATTTTGCAGCAACACGGCAGAAAGAGCTCCAATGGATCATTTTTCATAATTTTTTAAGTAATTTTGATTTGAAGTTAGCCAATTAATTGGGAGCTGAACTTGCAATGGTGTTAAAAGACTCATTTTTAATTAGGGATAATTGCATACCGATCACTCGAAATTCGATATTTACAAATCAAGTTTCTAAGTGATTTTGTTAACCACTAAATTCATGTATTCGCCCGTGCCACAATTAAATCATTGAGAATTTGATAAAAATAAAAAATATGAGTTGAGATTTTATCATGAAATTTGGTATTAGATTGAGAATTTAAAAAATAGATGAAAGTGGGGGTTTGATTTGCAAATAATAAATTTTAGGTGGCCTTCATATAATTGCCCCTTTAAATTATAGTAAAAGAGGAAGATAGGATGCGGCTGTTCAAAAGTTATCATTTTGTATTATATTGCCATTACTTCTATAGATAGAAGGGCTTCTTGCCATTTGCCCATATCATGTCTTAGATGGCATGCAAGCCGAATTTGTCCGCTTATAATATGGAGGATTGTTCATCTTATCCCCACGCAAGCATTTATATGTTTGTTAAATATTTGGGATTTGAGAACATTAAATATATAGCAAGCTATTGGGACTTTTATGATGTTATTAAGGTGGCCTTTATTCTAGACTAATTTTAGAGATTAAACTCTCATTTTAGTTTCGGAAAATATGAAATTATGTTCCTAATGATTTTCTTGAGGAAATAAACATGAAATATCATTTTTTTTTTAATCAAAATACCCGCAATATTTTGATATGCTTTGCTAAAGGAAGAATGATGTGATGCTCTATCGCGATGTTTCATCATTTGAGATTTCATAGCTATAGACATAAGAGGATCATGATGGTGGAGTTAGCTATATCTTCATTCATGAACAACTTTAGCAAATATGTGTATTATTATTATTATTATTATTATTATTTATCGAATGTTGCTATCAAGCTTCATAGATTAGGTTGTCTTAATATAACACTCATGTAAATCCTGATAGATTGATGAGGGACAATTTTCTGCTTATTTTTTTGTCTTAGATTGCCTCCACAATTTTATTTAGGGAATGGCTTTACTCTTGTTTTCTAGAAATTTTTGTGGCAAGGAAATGTTTTTTTTTTTAAAGAGTGTGGTAGTTATAAGAAAGTAATTGTCTGGTAGTTTTTTGAAAAAAATATATATTTATAATTGTTACCGTAACTTTCTTAGGAATTGTTTTCTCTACCACAATTTTATAACCACATTTTTAAAAAGTTGCAACCACCCCAAACAAATTATAAAAATCATATTTCTATCTTCTTAGAGCATATGTTCTAATTCCTTAAACCATAATTGACCATTGTTCTAATGTATTTGAACTTTATTTGAACCACATTGAAAATTATTCAGCCATATTCAAATATAAATTCAAACATTGTCGTATTTTTAGGTGATCTGAGTATATTCAAACATGTTTCAAATTGTAATCTCGTAATATGGTTTAAAATGATCTCACAAATATTAAATAAGATATGAATATGATTCAATCATGGTTCAAACATAATTCAAACATATACTCTTAAATGATCATGAAATATGTTTGAGTAGGTCATATTAGGATTCCAAGAATGTTCAAACTTGATTTGAATAAGGTTCAAGCGAAGTTTAATTTGTGTTAAAGCATGATTCAAACATATTATCTTTAAAAAGAAAATAAAACCAACTATAATCCAATCGCTTAAAACATCATAGAGATACACTATAACATTATATAGCATTCATAAGATCTTAGTGACAATTCTAACAATAAACTAAACTAATTATAAGAAGATTTATCATGAAAATGATAATATAGTAGGAAAAAATTATGACACAAATGAATTCAATTATAATTTTGAAATTGACAGCTTTTGCATCACAATAAATTGCCCAAATCCTTAATTATTGGGCATGCTCGGGGTTTCAAAAAATGCACTCTTGAAGATTATTGGGATTTAAATCATTATCATCAAGCAATAAGATATATATTGTTATGATGTAATTATAAGTTCAAACTACCAAGTTAAAACTTGAATAAGTAATCAAAGTTATTTAAGAAAAGATAAATAAATTACTTAACAAAATTATTTAATCAAAAGACCCACATTTATACTAATCTTCAATATCACATTCAAACACTAATAAATATAAATTTTAATAATGATAGATATATCATTATCTCTAACATTCAATAAAATGATATCACTAATTTCAAAATATCTAACTAATTTTTCATTATCTCCTTAGTCATTTGCATGCATAACAAGACAAATCAATCAATCCACTCCTAAACAAAGATAGTGAGTGCAAGGTAATAAATATGAATCAATTTTGTACTATGTTTGTGCTGGTTTACACATGCCCAAGTGTATCATGAAAAAAGTTGTACTATGTTTGTACTATATTATTAAATAACTTATGACATGGGAGAAGTTTATGAAATAAAATGCTTACATCCAAGCCTAGCCAACTAACAGTCTAGGATTCCATTGCCCAATCAAAACAAATCTTCTTCACAGTAAGCATAGGTGGAGAAATCCTCAACTAATAATCATAATCCTAAAATACAACTTTTTTTCATAATACACTTCCAAAATTTAAAAATGAAAATATAAATCTTAAATTTCAATAGCACCAAATCAAATAATATAGCAAAACAAATTTAAAAGGAAACTTCAGGCAATCTTACGACCAAGTAGATCGTCACATGAACATTTTCATTCACAAATGAACTCGTGTTTTTCACTCAAGCTTGAAGGTGTTCCAATGCACTCTTAAAAAATCACTAAGGGTCCGTTTGGGGCAGCTTATACATTTCAGGATAAGCTGTTTATCCTAAAACGCGGCCCGCGGGCCGGCTCCAGGGTCGACCCGCGCCCTGCGTTTAGTGTAAAAATCCAAACGCAGTTTCAGATAAGCTGGCGAAACGCGCGAACCAAACAGTACGGCGGCGTTAAACGCCGCATTTATAAGCTGCCCAAACGGACCCTAAGTTTTTTCATTAGCCCCAACCATTAAAAAAAATGTTATCTTACTTACAATGTGATAGTTTTTATTTTATTATTAATGCAATTTAAAATAGTAACACCAATACTAATTTTGTATTACCTTTATAAAACAAAACAACCAAGTATTACCACATAATGCAACTTGTTAAAATAAGAAACTTGAAAACTAATATAATTGTCAATGTCATTGATTTAAATAGTCATTGGAGCTAATAAAATATGATGTACAATATTTTTTATTTTCATTTTGAATTATATTAATACATGTAATTATTTGAGAGACTTAAATAGAAATAAAATACCATTTTATATTAATGGAAAACCCCATTAAAGCAAAAAAAAGAAGGAAATGGGTATGAGTTTTGAATTTAAATTATGATTTTTTTTTATTGAAACAAGAAAAAATATTATTGCTATTATTCTTTGAAATTTGCTTGCTCAAAATTTGAAATGGATAAAGGTATTTATTTATGCATGAATAAAAATATTAAATTATATAAATCCTTAATTATAGTTATTAAAAGCTAAATTTACTAAAAATTTCAATTGAATAATATTTTTTTGCAAACAATCAAAATGTAACATTTTATAAATATTTATTCTAAGTTTTTAATCCATTTAAAATAGCAATATCAAAATTTTATGAAGTAATAAAAAATATTTTTACTTTTAGACTACATTCTTGATCTAATATAAGAGAAAATAAAATGTGGCAAAATATTTTCATAAGTTATAAAATTAAATTACTTAAATTATTTTGAATGTAATAAATATTAATGATATTTGTGATTTTATTGTTATAAAGCAAACCAAATATCATGGAATTAAAATTAAGGGTCACATTTACCAATATAAAATTAAATATAAATATAACTATTAATAAAATGAATATTTTAAGGATCAAAAGTACTATAATATTTTGTTAAAGCCCATAACTTGGGGATTATTTTATAATTTAGAATAACTTTTACTAAATTTTAATAATATAGTTTGCTTGATTAATTTATAATTATAATTTAAGAAGTATAAGTAGACTCGAGCTCCGAGCTTTCTTAATACAAATAGCCACATGATCTTAAATTTTTTCATAAGAAAATATTGGTCTCGCCATCATATATTTGTTATAAAAAAAATATAGTTAATAATATCTCACCATTTGATGATGATAAATTTATATTTTCTCCCCTTTTTGACAACATAAAAAGGTTATGATAAATATATGTATGAATATAAATATAAAGAAACCAATTAATATAAAGAAAATTAGAGATCAAACAACCCTAAGTTTCTTCTAAGTTCAATAAACCAATTTTCATCTTAGGGTCTAAGAAAATATTGACTAATTATTATTTAGTTGGAACAAATTCAATATCAACATCATATTTAGCAACATGATATCTAATAAAGTGGTGTTTGATCTCAATATCTTTAGTTTGTGTTGATTCAAAATTTTTGGTTAAATTGATAGTACTTGTATTATCACGTATAATTGGTATGTGTTCTAATTTAAGGTCTATAATTTTCAAGTTCATTTAAACCATAACATTTGAGCGATATAACCATCTACAACCATGTACTCAGCTTCTGTAATAGATAAAATAATAGAATTTTGCTTCTTAAAGGACAAAGATAAATGAGATGATTCCAAAGATTAACATGCTTACGCGGTATTTTTTTTATAGAGCTTACAACCTGCACAACATTAAAAAAAAAAAAAATTATTTATGTCACGTATGTTTTGGGGTATCGCAAACCGAAACTATACGCCCCTGTTAAATATCAAAATATACATTTAACAACATTTAAATGAGATGCCTTAGGATTTGTATAAAACAAAACACAAATACATAACAAATACAATCTACCATATAAACATTATGTTCCTATAAAATCATAACAAAACACAATCATGCTCCTATAAAATTTATTATCTACCAATTTTCTTAATTCATCTAAATATAATGTAATGGTTTGGCTCATGATAGTTTTACTAGATTTAGATTGCTTCATATGAAACTGTTGAAGCCAATCAATTGAGCATTTAGTGTGGAATATGAAGATAAGGCTTCTCTTATTGTTTTACTTCTTGAAGTCCCAAAAAGATATGTAATTCTCCCATCACATTCACTTCAATTTATTTAATCATAGTTAATAAAACTCATGACAATGACTCATTTGATCTTCCAAATAAACTATCATCAGTGTATATATATTTGAATAATAATAACATCAACTCTTATTTTCTTGAAAATTTACTTTTTTTCCTATCAAGAAATTATTAAGCATATCATAATATGCTCTACGGAATTGTTTCAATCCATATAAAACTTTTGTTTAATTTACTTAGATGATTTAGGTGATCTATATCATTGAATTTTGGAGGTTGTTCTACAAAAGCATTTTGATCTATAAATCCATTTAAAAAAACACTTTTTAACCCATTTGAAAAAAAAAAATAATGTCTTTATGGAAGGCAAAAGCAAGGAGTAGCCCAATAGCCTCTAATCTTATTATTGATGCAAATGGTTCCTCAAAAATTATCCTTTTTATTTGGTTATACCCTTGAGCAACAACTCTAACTTTGTTTATAATGAAACAACTTAGCTCATTGAGTTTATTCTTGTACACCACGTACGTGGTTATGTATATCGCAAGTGAAAAAGATAAATAATCTAAAAAGATATGGTACAGCAGTAAGTAAGATGCACAGACATGTCAAATAGTATTGACCAACCTATATCAAAGAAAAGAAAGACTTAAAGAGAGAGAATGAAATAAAAATAAAGAAAAAAGCAATGAGGCAATTTGGATGGCATTTGATAGTGAGACCACCTCTAGTAAGTCCAAGGAGGAAACAAATCTCTGTCTTATGCAAGCTTATAAACATGTCTATCCTCGCATAAATATTGTCATTTGCAACATGTATGTCTCCAACCTTGAAGGTGTTTCAATGTGCTCTTAATATTTTTGTAATCTTGATAAAAAAAAAAGAACCAGAGATCACTAAATTTTCTCATTAGCCTCGATCATTCAAAAATATTCTCTTGTTTATAACAACAACAACAAACTAGCTTTTATCCCACTAAATGGAGTCAGCTGCATTTTTTTTTTTAGTACTGAGTGTCATATTTTCATTTAGTTCTAATAAATTAAGAACATTTTTTATACCATGCCTAAGTCTTTTTAGGTCTTTTTAGGTCCACATTTACCTTATTTTTACATAAATCAAATCTAAAGCATCTACTTTCCTAATTGAATCATCAATTGGTCCATGTTTAATGTGGTCAAACCATCTAAGAAGGCTCTCTGTAATCTTTTCTGCCACTAGAGCTACACCAACCCTTTCACGATACATTTGTATCACATTTTGTCTCTAAGTATCAAGCCACTCATCCACCTAAGCATTCTCATCTCAGCAACACTTAACTTGGTTTTATGTTTCTCTGTTAAAAGCCAACATTCTGCATTAGAAAGTATTGCAGGTCTCGCTACCATCTTATAAAATTTTCCTTCAAGTCTAAGCGATACTTTTCTATCACACAATAGGCCTAATGCATTCCTCCACTTTAACCATCCAACTTGAATTCTACTAATAACATCCATATCTATATCATCACCACTTTGAACAATATACCCGAGATATCTAAAATGTTCACACATTTTAATAATTTGATCACCAAAGTTAAAACTCTACTGCCATATCTATTATTATTAAAATTAAATTCTATGTATTCAGTTTTAGATCTACTCAAATGAAAGTGTTTAGACTCTAAAGTAGATCTCCATAATTCAAGTTTCTCGTGAGCTTTTTGTCTAGTCTTATCCACAAGAAGATATCATAAGAGAAAAGCATACACAAAGGAACATCCTCCTATAAAATGTCCATTAAAATCATCCAAAACTAAAGCAAAAGGATATAGATTTAAAGTTGATCCTTGATGAAATCCAACCAAAATAGGAAAATACTTGTCAATCATCTATCTATTCGAACACAAGTAACAACTCTAATATACATATATTTAGTGACTTGAATATAAGTCACATCAACACCTTTCTTTTCTAAAACACTCTAAAGAACTTTTCTTGGAACCTTATCGTAAATTTTTCTAAATAAATAAAAAAGATATGTAGATCATCCTTTCTCTCTCTCTCTCTATGCATTTCTCCATTAGGCTTCTCAATAAGTGTATAGCTTCCATAGTATACTTGTCTGACATAAATTCAAACTGATAATGAGAAATATTTGCATCACACTTAACTTACGTTCAATTACTCTCTCCCATAATTTTAATATTTGACACATTATATTAATTCCTCTCTAGTTTATACACTCTTGTGCATCCCCTTTTTCTTAAAAATATGAATTAAAATACACATCTTCCACTCAAACATTTTTTTTCTAATTTTAAAATAATATTAAAAAGTTTAATAAACCAAAAAATTCTAAATCTCCTAAATATTTTCACACTTCTATTGAGATATGATCAAGTCCTATTTTTTCACCCTTAGTTTTCTTTAAAGCCTCTTCAACTTGTTTTTTACTAATGTCAGGATAAAAAAAAAAAAAAAAAAATATTATTATTAACAATATTAAGAAAAATTATTCATTGCAAAATATCTCACCTAGCTATGTTGAATATCTTCCTCTAAGAAAAGATTTTCATCTTTAATGCACTTTACTGAATTAAATTTTTAAATTTCATTTCTCTTTGGTTGGTTAGTTTGCACATATATCCTTCACCTTCTCTAATATCCAATCTATTATAAAGATAACTAAAATAAAAGTCTTAACATTACAATTTATTCTCTTAGACTCCATACGAGTCACCTTATATTTTTCACAATTCTCAGACCTTTTACCTACACAAAACACAAAATGATTCCTCATTAATATCATGCATTCCCTTCGCTATCCTCATATAAATACGACACATACACATGTATTTGAAAATGTTTAAAGGATATAATTATTTTTATAAGAAACATAAACCTATATGAGATTAATTTATCTCTGACGAATCAAACGCATAACTTGAAAGCATTCTCAAGAAAACAAACATATAAAACATATCTGCATCCATCTTAGTCTAGTTGTTCAAGCATTCAACACAAAGTACAACTACTCGGAATATTAATAAGAGAACCTATTAACAATTTTTATCAAGCATTAACTTTTAGAAAGATCTGCATACATGTCACACAATTCCTATGTACTTACATGTCAATGCCTAAACTTTGATATTTAGATTAATATCAATTTATCTATGAATGAAAATTTATATTCCACTTTTAAAAAGTTAGTACCAGTGATATTTTTGACACAACATGAAAGATTTGTGTTTGAAATGTAAAAAGAGTAATAGGTGTTAAGATGTAAATTCATTAGAATTGTGTGGTATGTATGTAAATGTCCCTAATTTTTAATTTGAAGTTGCAATGACTAAGTTGCAAACTGGTCTAAATTTATGCTTAAGTTTTGCATACTTCAAGCGCAAGCCAAATAAATAAGTTTATCAATGTCTAAAGCACAAAGCTGAGTAAACATTGCAAGGTTTTTATATGCTTTTGTGATCGATCTAGTAGTTATGTAAAATCATGTAAATGTATGCACTGCATGAAATTATTCTCTCACATTCTGTTAATAACAAACTACTTAAGAACTTTTTTTTTTTCTTAGTCATATAGGCTATCAAGGAAAGCCCACTTAATCCTCAAGCAAAAACATGGAATGGTTACAATTTCAGGCTTTCCAATCAGTAAACAACTATACACTGATCATTCATGAAAATTGTAAGCTTTTTTTTATTTGTAATTTTATGACGAATTTGATCAAGAAGAATGAATCACAGTGACAATCATATAATTATATATGTAGCCATATTTGTGGCCTATTTGGTAAAATAGTAATACCTTAACAGAATTGTGGGAAAAGAGGAGCCTGCTGCGATAAACAATCAAAAGCAATGGAAATTTCAAGGCAAGGAGAAGCCTTCGGCAAGGCATTCTGTTTTCAACTCCTGCATAAGTTTCTGAAGAAGAGATGGATTACCAGTTACAATGGCATCTACGTGTTCATATAGCAGCCCCCTCATAGAATCAGGATCATCCACAGTCCAGGCATAGACTTTCTTCCTACTCCTGTTTCAACTCAAAACTCTTAAAAACAAGAAAAAAAAAAAGGCAACGTAAAAGATGTATATAGAAGTAGTTGCATTTTACCTGATGATTCTATCATTATGAGAGTTGTAAATATACAAATAACTATCAAACATATTTTTCTTCCAAGAATACGGTTAAAATCCGGACACTAACTAGAACAAAAGTAGAAATTTAAGTCTAGATTTTAATGAGAGCCATAATAAACCTATTCTTCTAAATGACCTACTCATCATTAAAAATAGACTAAATTGAGTCCTACCAATGAACTTAACGGTTCTAAAAGGTAATGAATTCATTCTTGACAGTAATTCTAAACTAATCGTGCATGTTGTAATCAACGAGTCAATAAAACAAACTAATAAAGTGAATCATGGATAAAAAAATGAAAAACATATGCCAACTAACGATGGGGAATCAATTGAACAAGCTAATATACTTACAATGAGAAATCCGATAAAGTTATTTTTATTAATTAAACTAAAACTAAATTCATTTTTGGTTTTTGGCTCCTTAATTTCCAAGCCATGGTGAAAGATTTGAGGAAGTAAAATTTTGTGGCAATTTCAACAAAATTTTTAATGGGAACTGCCTTAACAAAAAATTCCAAATTTAAATTTACATTTATTTTGGTGAGTCTAAAAGCGCATAAATCATCACCATTGATGTTTAAGCTATTTCGGTAGGCGTTCTTGAAGAGGGTAATAATCCCATCATCTATGAATGGGTTATAAATCCCTGTTAGTATGGATTAGGATCCATATTGCATTATAATATTTTATTTCATATCATATGAATGATTTGAATAATTTGTTTAATACGCACAAGAAAATCGTAGAAAATTAATAAGTATGGAAATCGGAGATCATAAATCTATTAATAATGTGAGAAGGAAATGCCTAGGAATTAAACCAATATATAAGATAGCAGCAGTTCTGAATCCTTTGAGAATTCCTATGAGGACATTTAAAAAATTAGCGATAAGGAGGAGGCCAAAACACATAATTTATAGGAAAAAAGACTTATAAAATAGAAAATTTTTTAGAAATTTTTCTCTATCCGCTCCTAGCAAATTCACATCCAGCAGCAAGATTTAAAATTGCACAATTGAGTAATAAGATATTTAAAATCTGTGGTGCATGTCTTAAGGTATATTGAAACGTAAAACTTAAAATCAACAAATTATCTAAAATTAGAAATATTATAATAACTTCAAAATATGAAACTAGAGATAAAATATCATAACTTATTAACATATTAAAAAATAACATATAAAAGCTCTAATGTAATTAGAGCAAATTACACAATAAAAACATTAACGTCTTAACATCAAGCCATAAACTAAAAAGAGTTATACAAACATCAAAATAATAAGACATACTAATTAATTTCTCTTCCGCTCCTATTGTCCTCCACTAAAATACAAAAAGATCACCAATATTAGAATTTTTTAATTCAATAGCCCCTATTACTTTCATCACTCAAAATGAATTCATTAGAATCAATAATGTGATACATTACTTTCTCACTTTATGAGCACCACCTGCTTTCATAATTAGTAAAAATCAATAAGAATAGCACGTAACTTTTAAAATAAAGACTATGTTCATGATTATAACTTCAATTAGATAAAGTTTTTTAATACTTTTACTATTTATTTCTTGCTAACTTATGTGGACATATTGATTTCACTTCCATCCCAATTAAAAAATCTCATGATTGAAGCACACCGACCCAAAAAAAAATATTATCTCTAAGATAGGGGGATGATAAAAACACTAAGATAGGACTAACATAAGACAGGCTTAGATACCAAATAACACCGGAGCAAATGAGATAATGGTGCAATGGCTGAAAATTTTCTCCCGCATCAAATAATCTCATGCTTGAAGCTCGCCGACCGAAAAAAAAAATGATATCGGAGGTAACCCAAATCCCCATAGAAAAGGCAAATATTATTGCTGAAAGAAAATAAGAAGTTACAACCAACACACTTGCAAGGAAAAATATAATGACACGACACCTGAAAATCGGAATTAGCAATGGACGCGACACAAACACTCAAGCTAGAGTGGAATATACGGGTGGTGGTGGTGGTGCTCAACGAGGGTTTGGAAGGTGGCGGTAGGGGGGAGCAGAGTGGAGAAAATGGACAGATATGACAGCGGAACAATAGGTCTTTATTGTCCTGGGCAGTAGCAAGGTGGAATTCGAGCTCCCAGATGCTGGAACAACAAATATGTAGTAGGGAGAGGTACAGAAGGTTGGGATAGCTGTTGGTGGCTCGGGTATGGTCCAGGACAGCTTGAACAATAGTTGGTGGGAATAGGAGAGGATTTTTGTGACCGGAAAAGTGACGGCAACAAGCGGGGGTACTGAAATCACAGAGAACTTGCACTAGAATGTAGAAATTGCAAGAACAACGTCAGCAGCTTCTTTAGATGGCTAAAGCAGGGAAAGGCGATGGGGAGCAATGTGGGGAGGGTGTGAAAGGAGAATAGGAAAGATAAACACCATCTGGAGAAAAAGATACAGCCGAAACACCAACTTAAATCTTAGGATAAAACCCTCAAAGGGAAGAAGAGACACTGGTGGCTATCGCAACACAAAACTCACCAAAACTAACCCTAAACTATTACAAAAATAAATATATAATAAGAGGATAACAAAGAGTGGCCCAAGAGGAGAAGCCGACTCCTCAGAAAAAAAGAAACTTGAACCGGTTCGATCCTTGCAAACAGGCGGGTCACCTACTTCCACGTCGGACGATCAATGTGTCATTAGCACAATTTAGGCACATTCAAGGTGGGGAGCCATGATGATACTTAGACGCCAGACTTGGTGCCTAAGACAGAGATTAACACCTACGTACCAACTTCAAGCGCTCAAAACACCAAATTCAACCTTCAAGACAGACGATGATAAGCCCATGTGCCAAAAAATGATAAAAAAAAACTCAGAACTCAATGCCTAAGTGTCAACCCCTTGTGCATAGGCGCCACATAGCACCAAAAGCACATCCAATAATTCAATCATAAAAACTTGAAAAATTGGAAGCTTTGATGCAAACATATATAAGAATTTTATTGGGATGAATTAAAAATCATTTTGGCAAGGGATTAAATGTAGGCATTTGGTGGCTCTCTTCTATGTTTTTGGAGTAAATCTTCTACTCAGCCATTAGAGCAGATTTTGGGCGTTGTGACTGTTGACCTCATTTTTAGTGAGGTCTTAGTCTTCTACTCTTAGAACCTAGGATCTATCTTTAGGAGTTCTTATTGACCATCCTAGCGGACTAGCAATGGAGCCCACCTCCCGTAGAACTTCAAGCCACTTCTTGACTCATTTTTGTGAAGAACTCGCATGAGTGGTTCCAAGCACTCAACCTTTGGTTGCAAGGGCTAAGGACCAACATGTAGAGGGCCCGAAAATGAGTTCATATAGGATCAAACAACCTTAGGTGAACCCTTAGTGACTCGATTACTCGCGAACGTCGCATTTTACGCACTCACTGCACCACACACGACTTTGACTTGAACTAACTCGCCAGCCGACAAACTTGTCCGAACGATCCCGGATGACGAAACAGACCGCGCCAACGCGTCCGGAACGTCAACTTTAGCCGGGGAGGACACCCATTTTGTCGCGTCATCGCGCGCGAATAAATCGTTAACTAGCACGAAAATCGATGCATTTTTTTTTAGCGGTGCGCGGGCCCGGGCTCAACCTAGGTGAGTTCGATTCGGGCATGACTCGGGCTGAACAATAGTTAAACGATTTTTGAATTTTAAATTTTTGAATTTCAAATTCGTCATTTAATTTTATCTTAATTAGAAAGAAAGGAATTCAATTCCCCGCCTAATCACCCGTAACAGATACATTTTTGATATACAATTCGAGCGTTCCTTCACCTTCCAGGCATTCGGCCTCCTCTTCATCCCCTGCTCATCTATTCTCCTCTGCACCGAAACCTCTCTCTCCCTCGCCACTGAAATCCTTGTCAGCTCCTCTTCCGCTCGACGCCATCTTCTCCAGTTCGAAACCCAGCTTCCTTTCAACCGAAGACTTCTGCTCGCCGAAGCCCCGCACCGAAGCTCCATTGCACTCCACGATTGTCTACACCCAAATCCAAGCTCCACTCGCTTCTTCCTCGCGCGATCTCCTCTTCCTTGCGCCGAAGATCCACACTCGCCTCACCCGCTCTTCTCTGCGACTCGATCGTAACTCCCGATCGAAGCATTTGTTGCGCCTCTTCCCCGCACCGGTTCGATTCCGTCTCTGTACCGAAAGCCTTCGTCTCATCTCCCCAGCCCCGCTCGCCTCCTCTGTACCGAAACTTCCGCCTGCCTCATCCTTCTGATTCGCCTCCTCCTCAAAGCGCCGAGATCGCTCGATCCCACTCCCGCTCGCCCTCTCTTGTCTCGATCGAAGCCCCGCTCGCCTCTCGTCCATATCGAAGCCGCTTAGCCCTCCCGTACACGCCTGATTCGCCTCCATCTGCTCTCGACAGAACACCTTGTTCTCTTTGGAAACTCTCTGTTGATCGTCTGCCGTAGGAGGAACACTGAACTTCGTCAGCCCTCAGCAATTACAATAACTTGGTAATGAATTCTTGTTTTGTTCCTACTCATTTTATTTATACAATATATGCCATCTAGGAGTTAGGAAGATTTGTCATACGCATCCACTTAATTCATGTTTTTTTTTTTTTTTTTTTCCTTGTCTATTGTCTAAAACTTTCACATGAGTATGAATAGCATTCA